GTAGAGTCACGCGACGGGCTACGAATCCATTCGCAGCAGCTCCATGGTGGGGAGCGCCCGGAGTTACACAATGCCATCGTTTTGACTCCGCAGCGCCACTCGTTTCACCTCCTCTTCCCGCCTTCCCCTCGTTTCCTTCATTTCTCCTCCTCTCCCTGCCTCGGCGTTCCTCCTCTCGCGCTTTCTCTTTTCGATCTCGGGCACGCCCAGTGTCCCCAAAGGGAGCCTTACGGGAGCCTTCCTTACGACCAGAGTGAAAGTGGCTTCCATGACCGACGCCCATGTTGGCACACCGCTCACGCGTGTCGCGCCTCCGTAGCGAGCCCATCCACGGCCACACTGGGCGTCAAAGTATGCCGCTGGCACGAACCCCATCGTCAGGCAAACGAGTAAAGTCTGGAATGTAGGCTTGAAACTGTATAGCTAATCATGTATAAATATATCCATGTATACTGCAGATGTACATGTGTTCATACATGAACATAGGAACATGAGAGAAAGGAGGGAGAGAGGAAAGAAGCAGGGGAACCCGTCTGTTTTCGTCCTTTTTCACTCTTAATAATATTCTGACTCTTATTCGCATTATTATTCTGATTAATAATATGTATTATTAGTTGTTATTCTTATGTGCATTATTATGGTTGGCCTTATTGTACTTCTTGTCTTTTTTGGCAAGCTGTCGTAATTTGTTTTGTGCGGGTGGGGTGCTAAGATAACGCGCCGTGCGTGGCGGGGGCGATAATCCGCGAATGCACTGTCTCCTACACGACGGCCGGAAAAAAACAATGTTTCAACAGGGGTGGTAACACAAATCGTATAGGACAAGGGTGATGAAGGTAATGAGAAACGAGTTTCCTTATTTGAAATATCATTTTTATCCTTAATCGCATTCTCAGTATTATTATAAGTATGAGTCGTATTATTATTATTGTTACCGTTGTGATTCGCATTTGGAGTATGATTGTGATGATTTCGGTTCTTCTTTCTTACTTGTATTATTACCTCTACTCTTATTAATGATATTATTAATCGTACCCTTACTCGTATCCCTATTTTTATGCTTAGTCGCATTCTCATTCGCATTCACATTCACATTTGTTATGCTTATTATTCGTATTTTTATTCAAGATACGATTCTTGGTCTTATTACTATTATTATTAACATTAGCATTCTTGGTCTTACTAGTACTAGTGTTAGTGTTAGTATTACCCTTACTCTTGTCATTATCTGTATTACTATTCTGATTAATACGGCTCGTATGCCACTTTTATTATTATTCCACTTCCAATTGGAACACCACCAGAGCCGGGGTGCGGGAATTATTGCGAAGGCCTTACGGCCGTTGCCGCCGACCCTGAAGATGACGAAAGACAACACGAGGGGGGGGCAGGAGGAGGAGGAGGAGGAGGAGGCGGAAGGGAGTAGGAGGAGGAAGGGTGAAGGGGGAGGAGGAGGAGGCCTTATGGATGTTGGTTGGGATCTCGTGGTTGACCTCTCGGGGGCGTCTGGAAGGCAACTTGAAGCCTCTTGGGGGCCGTTGTGGGGCCTCTTGGGGCCTCTTTTGGGCCTCTTGGGGCTTCCGGAGGCCGTCTTCGGCGCATCTTGGGGGCGTCTTGGCGCCGCTCGGGGGCCTCTTGGGGCCTTTTGGGGGCCTCTTGGGGCTTCCCGGGGGCCTCTTAGGGCGGAAGTCTCGAATTCTCGGTTCATCGTCCCCCTCTTGGCCGTTTCTTGGGCCCGTCTTGGGGCCCTATTGGGCCGTCTTGGGCGCCTCTTAGGCTGTCCTGGGGCCTTCTTGGGCCGTCTTGTGGCCCTCTTGTAGGCCTCTTGGGGCGCTCTTGGGGGCCTCTTGGGGGCCTCTTGGGCCGTCTTGGAGTGTCGGAAAGCCGAAAAGGCGAGAAGGCCAAAATCCTTGAAAAACCAATGTAAAATTGACGATTTTGGCGCCTGGGGCCCTGGGTGTGCTCTTGGGGCTCTCTTGGAGCGTCTTGAGGGCCTCTTGGGCCGTCTTCGGGCCGTCTTGGGCGTCTTGGGGCCATCGTTCGTCGAGTCGAGGCCCTCTTGTACCCTTTTGGGGATGTCTTCTGTCGCTCTTGGCTCGTCTTGAAGCTTTTCTGAGCTCCGGGACCCCCCGGGGAGGATGCGTATCTGGGTGGGACCCCCCCCGGGGACCCCCCCCGGCGACCCCCCCCCCCCCCCCCCCACCCCCCGGCGGGGAGGGTAGGGAGGGGCTTCGCCACGACTCAACTACGACGTTGCTCAATGTCGCTTTGGCTCGCGCGCTCAAGGAGACGGGGAACGACGAAGACGACGAGGGACAACGGAGACGGAGACGACGAGGACACGACGGAGACGACGACGACGACGACGACGACGACGGTGATCCACGCAAGACGACGACACCCGGATGCGTCTTCCACACGCCGACAGGGTCGAGCCGGGGTGCGGGAATTATTTATGGTCGTTCTATTTGCGCGGTGCTAATCATATCGTTCGGCGAAAACCGCAAACGCAAATCACGACTGGAGCCCTAGACCCTGATGTTTCTGGAGCATTTCCGAGCCCGATGGATATGTGACGGTCTGGGGGCCCGAAACCCAGCGAGCACAGCCGTCGTGAGACAGTTATGTAGCCTAGGTCTCAGGGTGGAGAGCTGGTCGTCGTCGTCGCAGTCGCCCTCGCCGTCACCGCCGAGCAAAACAATGGTGCGCTCAGGCCGCGGCCCCGGTGGCGGCGGCGCTGCACGCGGCTCTCCTCGCGGTGGAGGCTTCGAACGCCCAGGTGGACGGAGCGCTCGTCGGCATGGCGGCCGCGCAGGCGAGGGAGGGCACGGCGGCTCTCGGCAATCCTCGGCGGCTCTCGGCGATCCTCGGCCGTTCTCGGCGAGCCTCGGCGGCCCTCGGAATCCCTTGGAGGCCCTCGGCGGCCCTCAGCTGTCCCCGGAGGCCCTCGGAAGCCCTCGGCGGCCCTCGTTGGGCCTCGGATGCCTCGGCGGGGCACGGTCAAGACGCTGAAATATGGACCACTCGGGGCTCAGGAGGGGCTTTAGTTTTCTTGCCGCTCCTCAGATCCAGTGGAGCCTGTTCGTGGCAGAGGCTCGCCGTGGCCAGGAAGGCCCCTTCGCTGCTTACTGAACACCCTTCCGTCTGGTAGCACGATCGACGATGGATGTAGGGAGAGAGGGGAGGAGGAGGAGGAGGAGGAGGAGGAGGAGGAGGAGGAGGAGGAGGAGGAGGAGGAGAAGCAGCAGCATCAGCAGTAGCAGCAGCAGGCGGAGGACAAGGAGGGGGAGGGGGAGAGTAGGACAAGGTGGAGGGGGAGGAGGAGGAGGAGTATGAGAAGGAGGAAGGAGGAGGAAGAGGAGGAGGAGGAGGAGCAGAAGTTGGAGGAGGAGGAGGAGGAAGAGGACGATGAGGACGAGGGCGACGACGTAGGACGACGACGCCGACGTCGACGGAGGACGACGGACGACGTCAACGGCGGACGACGATGGACGACAACGACGACGAGTGACGACGTCGTCGACGAACGAGGAGGAGGAGGAGGAGGAGGAGGAGGAAGAGGAGATGGGGAGTGAAGAGGACGAGGACGAGAAGGGCGACGGCGGCGAACGATGACGTCGACAAACGGTGACGTCGACGGACGACGAGTGACGACGACGGCGGACGACGCCGACGACGACGAGCGAGCACGGTGATGTTGATGATGGTTTTTGACGAACGGCACGACGGCTTTGTAGCGGCGGCAGCGACGATCGCGATGTGGCTCGATGTTTGCATGGTGCTGATGTGCATCTTGGCGCAGCCGCTCTCATTGGGTTTTGACTCTCCAGCCCGATCTGACTTCAGTGGCCCCCCGAGGCCCGTGGAGGTCTCCCGAGCACCAAGGCCGCCCAAAGACCGAAAGATCCAACAAGCCTGGATCCTTGAATGTCAGTCCTCGGTCGGCGGCGTCGACGACGCCGTCGACGACGATGACGAAGGCCTCGCGCCTGACGCGGCGGGGTCTGATCGACGCGCTGTGCGCGCTCGCGCGGTGCCGGAAGCGGTGGCAGCGGTGGCGGCCGCAGCGGCGATGGGAAACGATGGCGGCTGTCCGATCCGAGCCGGCCAGAGGTTTGGCATCGCTCGGACGTGTATTGTTTCCTCGGCGAGGATCACCGAGGAGCATCTTAGATCCTTGCGAACAAAAACCAACGACACCGAACAATGCACGGGGAATGGACGTCCTATCGACGGCAAGACTGGGCTCCTCCTTACTCAGCAGCCGCGCGTGGACGTCACACCGGCAGCAAGAATCTACATGCACATGTCTGGGAGTTGCTACTGCGCCTCGGCCGCACGTGGCCAGGACGAGGAAAAGTCCGTTCCAGAGCGTTCCGGAACGCTCTGAGAATGCCGCGGCGCCTGAGACATCCTTCAGAGCCGCCTGATCTCAGAGATTCTCGATCTCACCCGATGTTATCCTCGTGCTGGCTTCGTCTTATTCGGAGCTCGACCCCTGGCAAGCTCTGTGCCAATGGCTTACGAGGGTGATCAACAACGCTCTGTTACAGGAGGGGCGAGCAGGAAGGAGGGAGGAATGGGGTAGGGAATGGAGGAGGGGGGCAGATAGGGGAGAAAAGTACCAAGGTCTCGCGAAAGAGTTGCAATATTCTTTGACGGCTGCTCCCCAGCTCCTTGGAGAGCATTGTAACATCGGTTGCAGGCTGTTATGGCCATCTCCTGCGACGCCCGGCGCGCGGGCGTGCATGTGGGCGCGCGCGGTCCCCTCCTGGGGCCTGTCTCTCTGGGCGAGCTTCCCGTCCCGAGCCGCGTCCAGGCCTGATGGCGATAAAACCTCCAGGGGCGCCCCCAAACGGATTGACGACACCGGCGGCGGCGGCGACGGCGACCCAGTCATCCGACGATGTGGTTTTTGCAAATCCGCGGCCACATAGGTGTGGGCCCCTTCCCCACGGCCAGTTTTTGTGCCCCAGATCCGTTTTAGATGTCCAAGGGTCCTGATAACGAGCCCTAGAGGCACACATCGGAAAAAACGCCCAACAGTGTCGCGAGAGAACTTGGGCGACCACGGAGGCTTCGCGCCTTGGGCTTCGGGCTCTGATCGACGCGCTGTGCACGTTCGCGTGGAGCCGCCTGTCGCAGTGCGGAGGCCGCGAGGTGGCCGAGCTGGTGTCCGCGGCCGTGAAGCACGGATGCGGCGATCCGGGCTCTCTTCGTCCTCTGTGTTTATCTCCTCCTCCTGCTCCTCCTCCCCCTCCGTCCGTAGCCATTTTTGCTCAGGGGGTTCCGCGTCTCCGTGCCGAACAGGATACCGCTGCCACCGCGGCCAGTCTTCAGCGGTCGCTCCCAGCCCTTGCCTCCCGCCCGCGGCCGCTCATGCTTGGGACCGATGGCGGAACCCCCTAATGCAAGGTGCGAAAAAGAAGATCGCTGGTCCTCGTCCTGTCGCTGCTGGTGCAGGTGGTGGTGGTGGGGATGGCATTGATACAGGAAATGGTGCTAGGTCTCGCTCCGACCGCACACACAGCGAGGATGAAAATGGAATGGGTCCACAAAATTGGGACGCCCACATCAACACTCTAGTCGACGAAATGCTCGGTATTCAGTTCAAGGCCTTGAAGGATGAGATCAGTAGCATGGCCGCCATCATTGCGAGCGAATCCGCTGGCAAAACTGTGGGCCTTATTATGGCGGCGATCAAAGCGATGGAGGATGCAGCCAAGTCAGTTCCGAACGCCAGCAAAGCACATGTGGAAGCCACGCTTCGCCCCGATATCGACACAGTGGAGAAAAGATTGCAAGTGAAGTTGGGCACTTTCTCAGCCAAGGTGGCAGCGATCGACGGGAGGACTGACGAGACCGCTGCTGAGCATGTTGACGTGCACACAGCCATGGAAAAGATGCGCCGCGAGCTCGCGCTCGCCAACAAAGCTCCTCCGCCCCCCAAGCCTCCCAGTTCTGGGATCCAACGTGAAGTTGACGCTACCATTCTTAAGATTGTCGCGGCCACGATCGCCAATCCTATTGACGTCGCTCCACATGTGGGCAAGTGGCTCGGTGACGCGAACATCGGGGGCCTCACTGCGGTGGAAGAGGAGCAGGATCGGATCTTCGTGGTGCAGTTCACGGGCGCAGTCGCTGTCGTTGGTCGCCGTGTCGTTCAGGCTCTCGGCGCCTTTCGGGATGCGCGTTCCTCTCCCTCCGGCGCGTGGCGGCCCCACGCAGTTGCACGTGGGCCCTGACAAGAGCCCGTTTCATATTATTATGTTCGAATTTGCCGGGCAAGAGTGGTGATTGCTTTGCGCGAGCTCTACCCCGAGGCCAGGCACTTCGTTGACAGGCGCCATGGTTGGATCACCGAGACCTGGAAACCGATCCTCGAGCTGGAGCTCCAGACTGGTCGCGATTCTACTGGGTGCTTCTGGCTCGATGCAGCGCACGCCTGTCACGGATGGGCCCGCGCCGAGGCGCGGAAGGCATCGTCGGCATTCTTGGCCCCAGCGCAGCACCAGAGTGGTCTCTTCACGGCGACATCTACGCGCGCCTGGTGGAAGGCGGGCGGGCCCCAAATGTCGAGGAGCTGTCTCGTTGCTTGGAACGCGCGGGCTTTGTTGCGCCGGCGTGGTGTTCGTGCCATGGAGGACGCAGTATTCGCCTGAGGCGGGCATCTCGCGCTCGGTGCGCGCGACCCATTCACCAGTCGCTGGAGGAGCTGAAACTCTTCATGAGCAGGGTGGCGCCGTCGCCATCAGTCTTCGGTTCGTTTGTGCTTGATCGGGAAGGCCATGCCCGCGGAGAGGCGGCGACAGTCGTGCTTTTGTCTTCGTCGGCCGCAGTGTCAGCCGCGCCGTCTCCTCTCATCTCGGGGAGTGTGCTCAAAACGACTTTGCGTGGCTCGCGAGCAGAGACTCGCCATTGCAATATTCGCAATTACGGGCTATCGGCAGAGGGCGTCTGGAGCGCGACCTCAGATTTCCAAAGGGGTATCCCGTGGACTCAAGTGGAAGCTAGTTCGCGACTGGTGGTGGTTTGTGGCGATTTCAATATTGCGTCGCACGGTTCTTGCAACCCGCTTTCCCCGAGGCCGCCGGGGATGCCGAGGCCGCCAACGACGCGCGGGCACGAGGAAGGACCTGGCCGGCAACGCTGCGCGAAGCGTTGGACGCGGCCGCCGAGGGCCCCGCGCACTTCTGCACATTGTCCTATTCGTTGGCGCAGTGAGATCGCATCTGATTGCGTGAATTGAACTGGCTCCCTCGTCAACTTCGAGGCATCGCAGGCCGCGCCGACGTCTGCGTGCGCGATCAGCCTCGCCAGCTGGGCGCAGCGCCTCGAAAGGCGGCGCCTGCGGCGATTTGCGAACGTCCTGATTTCCGGCAGCGCCATGATTCTTTTTCGCAAGATCGGCGCCTTGTCTCCCCCGTGTCGCCCCCCTCGGCAGCTCGAGCAGCGCCGAGACTCAACGGGCGCAGCCGCCCCCGACTCGCTCCGCCAGCTGACTGTCAACCACCCGCTCAGCATAGAGGCCCAGTGCATCTTCATTCGGCAGATCTGGCGGCTGGACACGGCGTTCGCGCGGAAGTTGTGCAGCGCTTGGGAAGTTGCCCGCAGTTGCATTGACATGTCTGGAACTTGTACGATTCTGATCGACCCAGTGACTGCGCATGCGCGGGCGGTCTCTGATCCACCGCGCCTTCGCTGCGCAGGAACCTGCCGAGCTTCAAAATGGCGCGATGCACGCGCGTGGTCCGGCTAAGCCCAGCGCTGGCATCATCTCTGCGGAGCCGAGCAAACCTCGCCTGTGGGCACCTTTCGCAAAGCGGCCCACGTTGCGCGCGGTGGAGGTTGAAGACGTCTGCTACGCCGGCTCCGCGGCTTAGCTTGATGCGTCGGCTAACGATGTTGGCCCCATATCTCGGTGAGGCCCCCTCTCTCTTCCCGCGGCGCGCGAAGGTCGATGACCAGAAAAGTCAGCGGCGCAGTGCGACTTCTCCAAGATCGCGCCGCCTTCGCGCGAGTTGCTGTCTCGCGCTCTCCCCAGACTGGTGCCGTCGAGATCGGCCCCTGGCGTGGGTGGTCTTCCCTGCGCAGCATGGGCTGGTCGCCCGGCGGGGGCAGACGTCCTGCGGGGTGCTCGTGCATGAATGATGGGTGGTCAGCATCTCTTCCTTTCTTCTGGCGTGACATAGCAGGCTTTTCTGCCAGAGGGCGTCAAACTGGTGGCGACGACGAGGGGGAGTCGCGCGTGCTCCAGACGCCGTCAGAACCTTGGGGCTGGGCTGCACAGAGATTCAGATCATCTCAGCCACGTCCAGCATCGCCTTTGCCCCCATCGTTTGGCAGACTCTCTCAATGGCCCAGCGAGGGGATTCGTCGCGGGCAGGCAGCTCATGTCCAACATCCTCGAGCTGGACACAGCGGCGCGCATCGCCTCGCTGCTTCCTGCGGTGGAGCGGAAGCAACCACTGTTAGTCTCTCTTGACTGCGGACATGCAATCGCTCGCCCCGGCGGTTGCGACGGGGCGGACAGCTGGCATCATCAAGGACCTCTCTTGCATATGCTGCGGGGTCATTCATGGATCTGCGCTCTCTAGCAGTCTCTCTGCAGCGGCGACGCCACCCCGTCTCGAGGACCTCAGGCTTGACCTTCGAGTGGCTGAGCGCGTTGTCGCCAGAGCCCGCGCTGATGTCATCGGCGGAATGCTGTTCGACGTGATCGACCCTCGCTTCTTGGCCAGAGTTATCAGCTGTGGCGGAGGAGCTGGCGAACTTTAAACTCAAGCCCCTGGAGTGCGCGCTCGTGCTGGGGCATGGTCGATCCAGATTCATTTTGAGATGCAGGAGTACTTGGGGGCACCTGAAGACAGCGGACTCGTTCGAGGTGGAGCAGGCGTTGCTGTTTCTCGCTGCGCGGTTGGGGGCGGCTCCAACTGCGATGCAATATTGGGTTGCGCCGTGGCTCGATTTTAAATCCAGAAATGCCGCATCGGCCGTATCGCGCGCTCAACGTCATCGACTACATCGCGCGGGTGCCTCCCCACCATGAGTAACATCGCAGTATTGTCGCCGCTCCCAGATCAGAGCCTGGAGTCCGACATTTACGCTCTCGTCCGCCTGCTTCGGCGTCCTGGCCGTGCCCTCCGTTGCATCGGCTTGTTCCGTCTCGGGCAGTGGGGGGGGGGGCCAGGCTGGGGCTGGCTGCGTCGTCCTCTGTCGCTCTTGCGCGGCCCCGAACATCGCCATTACCTCGATCGCCAACGTGCTTTCTCTGAGTGCGGCGCCGGCGTCTCGCGGACCTAAATGGAAGACGACCCCCTTCCTCTGGAAGTTGCCATCTTGTGGACTTCCCCGAACGCGCGAGCGTCGAAGGGTCGTCGCCCGGGGCTGCGGAAGCTAGGCGACATCTGCGTTCTAATCCCGAAGCGAGACGTTCTGTTAAGAAGACGCCATGCGCAGCTTGCCTCGCGGACATGCTCAAGCCCTTCTTCGCGCCCGATCGGTTCAGTGTCTCCCCTTTCTGACGCGATTCGCTAGAGGTGGGCGAAGTTTTTCCCGCTCAAACACGACGAACCTGCCGGGCAACAATGGGGGGGAAGTTGCAGAAGCAGCTTCCTTCTTTTCCAGCGTTCTAGGCTACGGGCGCACTGAGTGGATTCGTTGGTGCATGGCCCACGTCTGCTCGGATTTCTACGCCTACTGGACTGCGCAGCTGCATCCCTGGATGCGGGGGCTGCGAAGACGAGATTGGTCATTTCCCGGAATGTCGGAACCTCGCGGGGCGCATTGCCATGGCCAAGTCTCGCGGGCGGCTACTTCCCCCATCGGAAGTGCCACGCCGCCGGGGAGTTCGAGGGGCGACTGACGAAGACCTGCTGCGCACCCAGCTTGCCGCCATTGTCTACCGCGAGCTTCGCCAAACCCACTGCGTGCAGCATGGCGCCCTCCTCAAAGCTGCGCGTGGTCTACGTCCTGTCTGAGTTGCCGCTCGGACGGCGCGCCCTGCGCGATGGTCTCCCGCGCCGTGTTCGTTTCCCGTTAGGGGCAGGTGAGGCGCGTTCCTCTACGGAAGCTCCAGTGGGTGCTGGTTGCGTGGTATTCGAACGGCCGCGCGACCTCGTGTTTCGAATTGAGACTTGGGCGCGACATTGGTAACTGACGTTCATGTCGGTGGATTCGGGCCTCGGCCTCTCCGATTTC